GGGGGGGGGGGGGCAGGAGATATGGTTTAGTGGAGCCAGGCAGGCATGGGGGCAGAGTCAGAAGGCAAAGTCAGCACTGGCTCTCTCTAAGTTCAAGGCCAGCACAGTCTACAAAGCAATTCTTAGCCAGCCAGAGTGATACAGTAATACCCCAACTCAAAAGGATCAAAGCTATTTAATTGGACTATATGTGTAATTCCAGGCTTGAGGCAAGAAGATTGGAGTTAGACATCAGATAGGACTATGCAGCAAGACTGTCTCCAAAAAAAAAAAAAAAAAGTTAAACAAGAAAAAATTGCTCTACTCTTTTTAATTTCAGCACTTGCTAATTTTCAAGATATACATACAGCATCTTAAGTCCTGAAACCTCAGCAGCACACTTGTTTTCGTTACTGTTAAGCCTTCAGTATCGTGCATATCACTAAATATTCTACTTCAACATGGTATCCAAATATTTCCCTCTATTCCATCTTTCTAGACCTGCAGTTCTCAACCTGAAGATGTTGACCCGTTTGGGGACTGAACCACCTTTCACAGGGGTCGCCTTACATTATAAGTCATAACAGTAGCAAAATTACAGTTATGAAGTAGCAAAGAAAATAATTTTATGGTTGGGGGTCACCACAACATGAAAAACTGTTATTAAAAGGGTCAAAGCATTAGGAAGGTTGAGAAGCACTGTTTTAAACGAGGCTGTGTAGCCCTGACTGTTCTCAAATTCAGGTATCCACATGACTCTGCCTTCAAGTGCTGGGATTAAAGACACAAGCCACCAAGCCCAGAGTAAAATTTATTTTTAGGCTAAGGAAGGAACTCAACTAGAACTGTTTTCCTGGTGTGGATAAGGTCCTAGTTCCCATCACTGAGAAACCTAAATAAATAAACACATAAATGCTAAAGTTTGTCTTATTCTGTTTACAATGTTGGGGGGGTATACCCACAAGGAACCCAGTCTTGATAATTTGCTCTTCAGGATAATACCTATTAAACTCTGACTAAGCCAAGTCAAACCCCACATAGTATCTCCTCATACCTTTTTGTATTTCAGTAAGACTTCTGTCACAGTTCCACCAAACCGAACAGTTTTTCTTGGGGGAGAATTGAAGAAATCACTCTCTAATGCAAGCATATCTGAAAGCCTGAAGAACCAGGAATACCAGTTATTGAGTTCAAAACAGAGAATGACAACAGTGTCCATTACTGAACCAACAATATTTGTGGGATGAGGCTTAAGTTTCTTAATGATATTCCTGCTTCCAACCTTCTCCCCTGGGAATCCACTCTTCCCTCAGTAAAGCTATCTTCTTGCAGCACATACAATAAGAATTCAAACTCAAACTCCTAATATTTAGAAAGCAGCACTTGGGAAGCTGAGGCAGAATCCAACCTAGGCTGCATAGTGAGATCTTACTAAGAGTAACAGAAGGAAAAGAGATAGAGTAAAGAAACTCTATTCTCACATAAACCCTGTAAGATCCTGTTTAAGCAGCCACTGTTCCTAACCCCGATCTCATGGTACAATCATTTGTTAAAAGTATGATGTCCTTTCTGTTCCTCAAACTTGTCAAGCTGGTTCCCATTTCACTGTGAAACACTCTTCCCATATATATACAAGGTTGGCCTTCTCCACCAGAACCTCACACATTCACCCTTTATACTGCTGGAACGTTGTAGTTCTTCATAGCATTTTCTGATACCTGAAACTATCTTATCCATTTATTGCTGACCTCCCCCACTACCCTGCCTCCAGCTCTGTTGAATATGAAAATGTTAGTCTCTGGATAAGCTACTGTCCCCAGTATTTTCTTAACACAGTATGTACACACTTTATAAATAATTGTCAATATTATGCTAAGTGCTTTATAAGGTTTACTTCCTTTAAACAGAGAATCTCACAAAATCTAAAGGTTAGAGCCCAAATGTTTTATAGGGATAGGCATTTTAAAATGTTGAGCAAAAACGACTGCTTAGATAATATACGGTTCCACTACGCTACTGCTCGCTTCTGCAGAAACAAATTGCAAACAAAATTTTTGGGATACAATAGGTCGCCAGTGACAGCTTTCTCCTGGATATTCAAAACCCTGGAAATGCCATTCATGTCTTGGCCAAGAAAGGGAAGAGAAAGGCGCGGAAGATTGGCCTAGAGTCCCACAAGGGTGCCCCAAGAGTGGGTGGAAGACAATGGAACAGACAAGATTCGCTAACGCAGCGTCGCCCGGGCAGAGGGGACCGGAGGCTCCAGGGCGCCGGGGCCGAGCCCGCACGCCGGAACCCCTCCGAGCCCTCGGCACACCCCGAGCACTCTCAGCCGGCTCGAGCCCCGCACCCGCAGGCGGAGGCCGCCAGGATCTTACCCAGTCCGAGACGCATTCAGCGTGGAAGAGGCGGCAGCCGCCACATCACCAGACAAGCGCGTGTGAAGCAGCGGGACAGCCATTCAGCCTGAGCAGCGCGAACGCCGGGCCTTGCGCCGGAAGCCACGGCCTGCCCGCCCCGGAAGTCGTGCTGGGGGAGGCAACCCCCTGCCGAACGCGGCCCACGTGAGGAGAGCTCAGCGATCGCAGCTAGAAGGCTAGTAGGCTTTTGCCCGGCCCTATCCTGCCTGAAGCTTCCCTAGGAAGAGGCTGGCACAGTTAGGCGGGGCCATCAGTGGCGGCGTTCCTCAGAACCTCCTTCAGAAAGAAGCTTGTCATAGTGGCGTGCGCACGTAACTCTGGCACTCAGGAGGTGGAGGCAGGAGGATCAGGAGTTCAAAGCCAGTGGGTAAATTATTAGGACCTGGGTTACCCAGGTAAAAAGCCCGGTTTGATCTTAGTAATGCCAGCACTAGAAAGGTGGAAATAGAAAGATCTCTGGGACTCGCTGGCCGGCTTTGCATTTCTGGCAAACAAACTGCATTGACCTCTGCGAATATGCAAGAATGGACACAGATGTTTAAATCAAAGAAATTGTCTTCACGGTGGAGAGATTTGACTGAGCAAAATACAAGATCTGTACATCATTTTAGACACATATGATAACCTTACTCTGTGTGAAACACATATTACACAGTGACCTAGCCAGAAGCCTGTAGACTGGTAAAACACCAGAGAAGAGAGTTGGACCGATGTTACCGTGGGCAAGAGGACCCAGGCTGGGGAGCTGGGCATGATGGTACACACCTTTAATCTCAGCACAGGGAAGGCAGGCAGGCAGGCAGGCAGGCAGATCTCTGATTCTGAGGCTAGTTTAGACTACAGAGTAAGTTCCAGGACAACCAGGATAATACAAAAGGAGCTTGTCTCCAAAACAACAAAGAAGATCCAGGTTGGATTGCCAGCACCCACATGATGGCTCACAAATGTTTCTAACAAAACACCCAAACACTGCAGTCCCCAGTCCCAGGGGTTCTTATACCTCTGTGAGCACAGTAGGGACACACAGAGATGAACACAAAACACCCAAACACATAAAATAAATCTTAAGACAGTTTTAGAGTGTTTGCTATCCAGCATACTTTTTCTTTCTTAGGATACATTCCAGAACATTGTTCACACTAGATGCTGAGACATCTCTTCAGCCCTTTATCTCCCCCACCCCGTCTTTTTTTTTTTCCCCCTTTTCTGGTATCTGGTTTGGTTTTGAGACAGTGTCTCTCTGGGTAACCCTACAGAGACCCTGCTGCTTTTGCCTCCCAAAGGCTGGGACTGAAGGTGTATGCAACCATATTCTTTTTTTCTTTCTGCCTGTCTATTCTTTCTTTTTAGAAAGATTGATGTATTTGTGTGTTTGTATGTGGGCATGTGCTCATGCTGGTGCCTGCAAATGGATATCCTGAAACTAGCTGTCGTGAACCACCTTAAAAGAACTGCTAAGCCATCTTTCCAGCCGCAAGGGAAGAATTTTTCTTTGGAAAACAACACAAACTAAAGCGTTGTGATAGCAGGAGAAAAAGGACTGCACCCCACTGTCCGTAAGAAAGATAAATTGTAAGAACCCAAAAAGAGGACCCCAACTCAAGTCCCGATCAGCGCGCACCCAAGGAGACACGAGAGACTGACTCGATGCAAATGGCAAAAGGCAGTTTACTAACAAGAGCCCTTGGATCGAAACTCATCCCATGCAGGGGAGAGAATTTTGATGAAGACCCCAGGAAGTTTAGAACTTTTATAGGGGGAGGCACAAGGGGGAAGGGAAAAGCGGGAAATTCTGGCGCAGTTACATATGATTGGATATTTCAAACATCAGCACTTTGCGTAAGCAATCATTTTGACAGGCTGGATGGCCCACTATTTTTGACCATGAAACCTCAGACCTTCTAGGATAAACACCAGGTAGCCCATTACTCACTTGGGCATGTTTAGACTGGTCAAGATATGTCTTTGGTTGTTTCTACATTTCTGGTCACCTCGTCCCTAGAGGGGCTTGATATTTTTATTATGGCTATTCTCAGCAAGCTAAGCAAGCCGTCCTGCGGTCTTTGCCAAGTTGTTTTTAATTTTTACTCTTACAAAATGAAACTTTTTGAAGCTGTGTAAAAATTACAAAATGAAACTTAGCATCTTGTCAAACAAAAAGCATAGCTTTGGTTGCAACATTATAAATTCAAATAGCATTCTGCTGTCTTTAAGTGATTTTTCTATCTGATGCTGTCTTAGTTTCTGGTGGAGAATGTTAGACAGGAATTACTTATGTCTCCAGACCAGGGGAAATAATTGCACATAGCTGGTTTTATAGAAACCTATTCTCCTCCATTCCAAAGAGAAACAATCACGATAAATACAGTGCATGACTATGATGCACGAAGACTATAAATACACTGTCGAGTAACCGCCAACTCAGCCATAACTCCATTAACTTTAAGTTGAACCTATACAGCCGGGCAGTGGTGGCGCACGCCTTTAATCCCAGCACTTGGGAGGCAGAGGCAGGTGGATTTCTGAGTTCGAGGCCAGCCTAGTCTACAGAGTGAGTTCCAGGACAGCCAGGGCTACACAGAGAAACCCTGTCTCGAAAATCAAAAAAAAAAAAAAAAAAAGTTGAACCTATACAAAAAATTAAACACCTACAATTGTGCCATCTAATTTAAGAAACAAACCCTTAAGCTATAATGCTGACTCCCAGAGTCCACTTTATTCTTACTTTCTTCCAAAGGTACTCTCTTGTTTTTGTTTTTAAAAGGCATTTCTAAGGTTTTGTGGTTTGTTTTGAGTAATGGGAATTGAACTCAGGGTCTTGCCCATGTAAGGCAAGCTCTTTACAACTAAACTACATCCTCAGCTCTGTAAATATTCTGTAAATAAAATATTCTATAAATAAAATATATATTCATAAACAGTGTGCTCTTGGAAAAACAACAGTTTAAGACAGTGTGTTAGAGGTTGGACTGGTGCTGCTATGTATTCAATTGCTAAATTCTGCCCCCACCCCAAATATATACTTCACTACCAAATCAGCAAGAAGCAATTTTAAGAGAAATACACCCCATTTCCAAGAGGTGGGGTAGGTGATTTTTGGTCATTCAATGGGCATTAAATGTTTGTCAACACCCATCCCAAAAAGGGATGGTTATAAGAAGTTATGATCTTGACTAGGGAGGACATGAGATAAGTTGGTTATATTCAGAGGTTTCTTTTCTCTTTTCTTTCCTGTATCCTTCTTTCTCTCCTATGCAGTGTTAAAGGAAAAAAGGGGGAGGAAGGTTGATAAGAAAAGGGGGTAGATAATACAATCTACTCTTAAACTACTGAAGAACATTCTATAGCCAATAATAATAGCACATTGGTACACATCTTTGAATAATGATACATATTGAGGCTATATTTTGCTACATTGGTATAGAGTTTGTATATTGATACAAATTTAAGTTTCACATTGGTTTAGATTATTGTATTGTGTTATATTGTATTGTATTGATTTTTGTATTGTATTATTGTATACAAATTTAAGGTTATTTTGGACACACATAATGTATAATATGTTTTCAACTTTTATTTGAGGTATTGTATCTCAGAATTCTCAAAGATACGATGTAAAATTCTAGTCCTTTTAAAGCTGCTATTAAAAACTGAGTAGGATAAATTAAGAAATACAAGCTGATAGACTCATGGTCATATTAGATTCTAGACTAGTTCATTACAAGATGCTTCCTAGGTTAAAAAGCTTGACAATTCAGATATGCTACAGTTAAATGGTCTACAAAAACCTCAGACACTTCTGAATATGGCATTTAAAGATATTTTTATTAACACCTTTTTGATATTAAGACATGTCAGCTCCTGACAATACCTCATTCAACTTGGAAGAAGATATGAGACTCAGAAAACCCCATGTGGAATTGCATCAAATATGGTGTTAAGGCCTAGGTAAAATATTAAGGCCTAGGTAACAGTTACTTGGCTAGCCTACCATTATAAGGAAACTTGCTCATATGTTTCTGTTGTTACTAGGAAACTTTTTTTTTTCTTGGTTTTTCGAGACAGGGGTTCTCTGTGTAGCCCTGGCTGTCCTGGAACTCACTCTGTAGACCAGGCTGGCCTCAAACTCAGAAATCCACCTGCCTCTGCCTCCTAAATGCTGGGATTAAAGGCGTGCGCCACCAGAAACTTTCTTTAAAAAAAAAAAAGATTTATTTATCTATTTATTTATTTATGTATATGAGAACACTGTACCTGTCATCAGATATACCAGAAGAGAGCATCAGATCCCATTACAGATGGTTGTAAGCCACCACATGGTTGTTGGGAATTGAACTCAGGACCTCTGGAAGAGCAGTCAGTGTTCTTAACCACTGGGCCATCTCTCCATCCCACTAGGAAACTTTCTAATGCCAAGATTGATTGCATATTACATATTCTGTTATGTTCTGTGCCCTTGGAAACCAATCAGGATAAAAGTCAATAAAACTGTTTTGTATAAGTTAACCATGATAAGCTTGGACCCAAACCAGTCACCAAATGGCACTTTCTGCATCTGTGTATAATCCTTTATGGCATAAATTGTCCTTGAAATAGGCCTAAATATAAGACACCTGCACCAATATAAGAAACTATTTGGGGGTGGGGGCTGGAGAGATACCACGGAGGTTAAGAGTACTAACTGCTCTTCCAGAGGACCCTGGTTCAATTCCCAGCACCCACATGGCAGTCCAGATCTAAGATCTGACAATCTCACACAGACATATGTGCAGACAAAAATATACCAATGTGAATATAATGAAAATACATAAATGTAGCCGCCTGCAGCCACGAAACAACTGGGTTCACCTGAAAGGGGGGCTGGGAATGAAAGAAGGGATGGAGGATGAAAAGAGATGAAGCCAAGACAAGGTATTCTGATCAAGGCTCAATGCTTTAATGTTCAGCTCTCAATTTAAAGGGGAAGGCCCACCCCCACCACAGAACCCCTTCTTGCTTCAGCCTTCATGGGTGAGGGGAATCCATCCTTAATCTCAGCCTGAGGTATCTCAAAGCAAGGTCAGCAGGCAGTCTATTCTTCTCAGCTCCTGTAGCAGACTGTAGTGTAGCCAAGGTGGGTAACACCTCCTGAGTCCTACTGTTTGGTCTGCTTTGGTAAACAAGATCCTTCAGGCCTGCTCAAGGCTGGGGGAAGGGCACAATTCCCCCTTTTTAGTTTTAAAGATGGCAGTGCCAGCAGCTGGACGGGGCACAAGATTTCATCCTGTCTAGGGTAAAGAGTGGCCAGGAAACCGTGCCTGGCTTAGGTCGGTGTCTATATTGCTCCTTATTACTCGTCTTCGAGGAAAACATATATAGCATATTGATGTATGCCTCTGCTTTAGGTTTATAGGAGCTCAAGAACACTCTTACCCATCTTTGACTAACCGGCCATCATTGGCGCACTCTTTCCCATACAGACCAAAGCCACATTCAGACCAAAGGACCTGTGAGCATGGACTCGATGCAATTCTTCCCAGAGATGCGTAACTGCCATGATGAATAGCTGGGCTTGCTGAGAGTGATCTTGTGTGAAGGCAATCAATCTGCTTAAAATACAAGGTTCAAAGGTTAAAAGCAACATGATTATCCAAGCAATGTAGAAAATAAGGTTGAAAGCGGAAATGTCCTAGTATCTAATGCAACTGCTGGTTAACAGGGATCAGACACAAGTCTGGCCACCAGGTATATAGTGGGTGGCTTTAAGTATTAATCATACCCAATAACTTATAGACCAATAATCTACCACCAAGACATGCAGAACTTATTTACACTTTTAAAATGAAGTGGATACACATCTTATATATTTAGACCAAACAAAATTTCTTGCTTTTCCTAGCTGTGATTTCAAGAGAAAAGCACCTTGTCACAGAGATTTTTTCTAAGACAAACAACTCTCAGCTTCCTTATAGAATCTAAAAAGCTGTTGGTCTCTTTAAGATCAGTTTATGCAAACAATCAATTTCTGAAAAGGCTTCTCTAGCTCAGCTCGACTCTTAGCTACAGGTGTAGGGTAACTTATCAGCCTCCACTGTACATATTAAGACTGCCTTTAAAACAAAGTTAAACTAGATCAAGGGGTAGATCAAGCAGTGGATCTTTTCTTTTGAACATAAAACAGAACAATCATTCGAACAAGGAAACAAAAACAAACAATTGACATATGTGGACACTGGCGCACCAAGGACAGACAACAGACAAAGACTCCTAGGAGCCAAAGAGAAACTCAGGACGTCTCCTGAATTTCCTCCTGTTCCTAGGAGGGCTCTGAAACAGCCTTTCATTCCTTTTTACTGACGCAGCTCAGAGAAGAGGATAACTGCTTTTCTCAAACCCCTTCTCTCATATTCAAGATCTAACTCTTCATCTCTTTCTCTAGGAGATGCAGCACGTGGCTGTTGATATTTACTCTTTAGTGCCCTGTTTTTTTAAGTCTTCCACTGCCTTCTAATCCTACTCCTCACGCCTGAGGCAGCTCTTAGGCTTCGGGAAAATGCCTATTTGGAATTCTCTCGTCCCCAAATTTGCTGTCACCTCCTAGGTGATGTAGGTGTCGATCAACACTTACTCAACCTAGACTGCATGCCCTTAAACACACTTCCTGCAAACACAACCACAACTAGCTAGCATCAATGCTGTTTGTTGCTTACCAAGTGCCCAGGATACTCTTCTTCTTCCATTTTCCGTGGAGCTTCACCCAAGATAGTGTTCCTCAGATGGTCCCCCATTTTCAGGTCCCTTGGTGCAGCGCCATTTTGAACCCGCCTGCGGCAACGAAACAACTGGGTTCACCTGAAAGAGGGGCTGGGAATGAAAGAAGGGATGGAGGATGAAAAGAGATGAAGCCAAGACAAGGTATTCTGATCAAGGCTCAATGCTTTAATGTTCAGCTCTCAATTTAAAGGGGAAGGCCCACCCCCACCACAGAACCCCTTCTTGCTTCAGCCTTCATGGGTGAGGGGAATCCATCCTTAATCTCAGCCTGAGGTATCTCAAAGCAAGGTCAGCAGGCAGTCTATTCTTCTCAGCTCCTGTAGCAGACTGTAGTGTAGCCAAGGTGGGTAACACCTCCTGAGTCCTATTGTTTGGTCTACTGTGGTAAACAAGATCCTGGGCTGGGGGAAGGGCACAAATAAAGTTTTTTAAAAAGAAACTATTTAGAATAAGACTTCCACCAGGCAGTGGTGGTGCATGCCTTTAATCCCAGCACTTGGGAGGCAGAGGCAGGTGGATTTCTGAGTTCGAGGCCAGCCTGGTCTACAGAGTGAGTTCCAAGACAGCCAGAACGACAGAGAAACCCTGCCTTGAAACCCCCCCCCAAAAAAAAGACTTCCATTTTGAGTAGTGGTCCAATAAAGTTTAAGTTCCCAAGACCTCCCTGAAAACTGACATCCTACTTGGCAGAAAGAGACATGTATATGAGTAACTGATATCCTGGTTGGCAAGTTACATGAACATTAAACAAGGCAAGTCCCCTTCCACAGTTGAATACCCCAACCAATGGGAGCAGGATAAATGTACATGTTCCTAAGGAAACCCCCTATCCCTAAATCTTGATTCATGGAATAACTTGGCACAGATGTTTCTGGATTTGGGGTTTTAAAACCCTGTAGGGTCTTAAATCAGGGTCAAGGTTCAGTTCCCATTCTGAACCATGGCCCTGGTTGACCAGTCCTGAGGAGTACGCTCAATAAACTATCCCTATCTGACTGATATCAGTATTTGTGTGATTTGTGAGGCAATTTCTGGACCCCAGCAGTAAGCTGGCACTGGGCAAAGACTGCCATTGCTCTGACTACAGACAAAATACTGTCTAAAATAGACATGGTGCAGGTTAGTTGACTGCTGAACTCTGCCAAGACAGGGTAAGTAGCCCTTCTTAATTCCTGCTTCTCAAAAGGTATGTCAGATATACTGACCCAGAAGATGAAGATAGATGCTCCAACATTATAGAGACAATTCTGGGGGACTATTCAGGCAGCCAACTATGTCATTTCTATAATTTTAGAAGCTGTTTGCTCTGAACTTCCTACATACTCAGGTAATATTTATTCCTTCTCAAATCTCTGATGAAGTTGAATACTAGATAGTTATAGTCTCAAAATTACGCTTAAGTTATTTAGGACTTAAGAAGATGTTTTGGGGTCTAGAAGATATTTTTCATTCTAAGAAAATATTATTAGGTTAGTTAATATAAGTTATGATAAAAAATGATTTAGATACAAAACTCTGAACTCATGATAGGATAGATGATATAACACTTTTCTATATGTGCCCTTCTCCCAGCCTTGAGCAGGCCAAAAAGACCATGTTTACCACAGTAGACCTAGTAATAGGACCTAGGTGGAACTATCCACCTAGGCAGGTACTACCTACTACAGGAACTTAGAAGAATAGACTGCCCACTGAGCTTGCCTTGCAACATAATCCTAGATGGGTTCTCCAACCCATCTCCAGCTGAAACAAAAAAAAAAAAAATGGGTTCAGTGGGACTTTCCCTTTAAATAGAAGAGCTGAATATTATACTTCAAGCCTTGATCAGAAAATTTTGTCTTGGCTTCATGCTTCTCTCGCCTCTCTGTCTCCCTTTTTCATTTCCAGCCCTCCTTTCAGGTGAACTCAGTTCGTCCATAGCCATGGGCGGCTACATCTATAGTTGTGAGATTAAGTAGACTGGACATTATGAATGTAACTCCTACCTAATAATTTTCATAATTATTTTATATATGTTCCTACTGTATGTTGTTGTTTCATGTATATGAGTGCTCTATTTGCACGTATACCTACATGCCAGAACTAATTATAGATGGTTGTAAGCCACCATATAGTTACTAGGAATTGAACTAAGGATCTCTGAAAAAGCAGCTGGTACCCTTAATCACTGTGCCATCTCTCCAGTGTTAAAGTTAATATTTAAATCGGCAGCACCCAATCTGTCTTGTTACAGGGCCTCCATGTTCCCAACTAGACAAGGCCTGAGGCCAAGAGCAGTGGTGTGTTCCTGCTAATGTTCAACTCTGACCAAGGCTCATGCTGGCCAAAGCACCAGCCCTTGAACCCACAAGACACCAGCGTGGGAGATGGCTCTATCGCACTGTCTCCACAATGCTTGGCTGAACCCAGACCATCCCGCCATTTACGCAGTATCCGGTAGAAATGAGACTCTAATGCTTAAAGATTATCTAATAGCTTTATATATTTGGAAAGGCTCAATTAACAAGATGCCCACACAATTAGAGGTGTTACCCAGATAACCTAGATATTACAACTACCTTAGACTGCTAGAGACACGCATACATCCACTGCCATCTTCCCATTTTGCCAGTCCTCCCTCTCTTTTTTAGCTCCTCCTTTCCTTCTTCTCTTCCTCTCCTCATGACTCCTCACTCCACCTACCTCTCATACAGCCCAATCGCCGAGCTTTATGCAAATGCAGTGGGAAGATATCACACTATACTCCAACCCTGAATGTTGTTTTTTATTGTAAGAGAAAGAACCTTTTTATTTAGACAAAAAGGGGGAAACTGTTGGGGGTGGTCTGGTGCTGCTATGTATTCAAATGCTAAATACTGGCCCCCAAGATCACTGCCCTCAGTGAGCAGATCCTCATGTACACCAAGTGATGCAATGTAAACTTTGTTGGTTAAATAAAACTAGCAACAGTCAATTGCTGGGGGATTTAGAGAGTGGAGTTTGAGTTATCAGGCTTGGGTCACAGGTAGGGATCACGAGAGAAAGGAGAGAGGGAGGGAGGAAGAGAGGAGAGAGAGAGAACAGAGGAGGAGAAGACAGAGAGAACAGGAGGTCTCCATTAGTCATGATGGACCAGCAGCACATGCCAGAGTGAAATGCCTTCCTGGGATGCCAGACTGCTGGAGCAGAAATAACCCAAAAAATTTCAAACACAGTTGGAGTAGTAGTCAGACTAGCATTAGCAAATAAGATCAGGGGTAATCCCTTAGTAATTGTGCCAAACCTAATAAGTAAATCATAGTATGAGTCTCATTCATTTGAAGCTGAACAGGGTAAGCATAATTCGTATTAACTTACACAGTGTCACTATATTGCCTCAAATTAATAGTCCCCCTGAGTAATCCTGAGTGCTAGTAGTATACACATGTTCCTCGTCTGTTGTTATTGTTGGATTTTTATTGTTTTTGTTGTTTGTTTCTTTGAGACAAAGGCAAATCTGACTTCAAGCTCCTTTTGTAGACAAAGCTGGCTCTGAACTCTTGATCCCTCTGCCTCCACCTCCCAAGTGCTCAAATTACAGGTGTGCACCACTATACCCTAACAGAGTTACTGTCGGGTTTGTTTGTTGGTTTGTTTGGTTGTTTTTTTGTTTGTTTTTCTTTTTGGTTTTGTTTTTTGTTTTTTTTTTTCTTGGTTTTGTCCTAAGGTTTAAGTAAAGGGCCTTGTGTAAGCACATGTTCTGCACTGAGATACACTCCAGCAAAGAATTGTTTTTACATGACTTTGGATTTTGTAAGTTACTTGCATGCTTCATGACATGGCTACCTACTTTCAACAATATATTTCTACGATTCACATTGTATAATGTAAAGTTGTAAATTCTCTGCCATATTGCATTCTATTATCTGAATACATTAAAAAAATTTCCATTGAGAGATTGATCAGTAGTAAGGAGCACTTGCTGCTCTTGCGGAGGACTCAGGTTCTGCTGAGTCCTGCATGGCCATGCTAAAGGGATGGTGTGACATAGTTCCCATTCCTGGAGCAGAGTTAGCAGAGCATAGGCCTCCGAAAGTATTGTCAGTTTCTAGGCATGAGGTTTGTTTGAATAACAATGTACATAATTTACTTTATGTTCTTCCTTCAGGAGGTGTTCTCCTAGCCAAGGTTAAAGACTCAATGATAATTAGAAGCAGAATGAGTCCAGGAGGCAAGGGTGTGTCTAATGTCCTTAGCAAAATGGTAAACACTGTGACCTTCAGGACAGCCCTTATGATTGTGTGAAAGAACTCTGAAAACATGAGTTCAAAAATGTATAATTTTTTCAACTATGCAAAATATAAGGATACAATATGAATTATATGATACAATATGAATTATATGAGGAGTTTCATGCACCTAAAAGAACAGAGACAGCTATACTATAAGCCAGCTTTTCAGAAAGATACTCAGGAAGGAGATAAAGAGATTTAGGGAGTGGTGAGCTCAAAACACAGGATCCCACCCAGCTAGTTTATTGTCTGTGCTTACAAAGGCAGGCAGATCTCTGAATTCATTTGCTATGTTAAAAAAATATATACTTGCTGTTTTTCTAAGAATCAAGGGGCTAAGTTCATAGAACGCTGATTCATGAGAAAATAAAAAGGGAACCTGGGTAAACAGTTGATATGTAAATAAAAGACTAAGCTCTGGTCTGCAAGAAAGAACTACTTGGAGAGCCATCACAGCTCTTTTAGAATGTTTTCTAGCAGCTTTTCTGACTTTGGTCAGAAAACCCATGAGCTATACAGAGAGCTTTTAGCATTTTTTCTAGCAAGAGAGAGCTGTCTGGAAATCTCTAGAGAGACGTCTTGAGCAGAATACAGCTGTCAGCTTGTACCCACAATTGACTTGGAGTCGTTTCTTGCACCTCTCCCAAACACCCTTTCCTCAGAAACACTCTCCAAGCAGAGGCTGGTCCTTGGCAAGGTTCAGTTCCCAGCAGAAGGCTGCCTCAAGCAGGGAGCTGTCTCGAGCAGAGAGTAGTCTCAGCAAAGTACAGATCCAGAAGCCATCTACAGAGAGCTGTCTAGGGAACTATATTGAGCAGAACACAAGGCTGTCAGCTTGTA